AGCGGCCACTGCACTCCAGTCTGGGCGACAGAGTGAGACTCCAACTCAAAAAAAAAAAGAAATACGATGGCTAAGTGGGCAAGAAGGCAGCCACAAGACCACAGGCTCCCGAGGCTGGTTGTGTTCGGCCCTCGTTGCCGGGCACAGAGGAGGACTCCCGCGGACCAGTGGCGACTTGAGACACAAGGCGCCCGATGGAACGGCCATCCTGATGGTGGCTGCATGTGGCAGCACAAAGCCCTGTTTGCAAGCCGCTGTGGGTTGGACTCTAGGGGCCCTTGGAATTTCTGCTGCGTCTGGCATAGATCTGCACCGCAGAAGAGCAGCCAGGCTTCAGGGCCGACATCCAAGTCAGGAAAAACCAAGGCTTGGGATAACAAGGGCATCTCTGTGGCTTCCCTCTGGGCTCAGGTGGGGACGTGTGACTGCCCTAACAGGTGACACATGCCTCCTGCCTCCTCCTCTGAAAGCCCACCCCTGCCATGGGCATCTCTGCTGTGTGACTGGTCTGAAGGCACCGCCCCGCCCCATGTCCCTAAGCTGGTCTCAAGGATGACAGCTACGGAAATGTCGCTCCAGGGGCACATTCCGACAGACCTTCTGGCCACAGTGATGTGATGCGCGTCAGAGGCCCTACACACGCCCAAGCAGCCTGGCCTGCGCTCAGCTAGGCTACACGCCAGCACGCACGTGACGGTGCCGAGTACCGCAGGCACCGCAGCACAGTGGGAAGCGGCTGCACCCACACAGGAGAGGTGCAGTGAAGGGACAGCCCAGAATCCATCCCAGCACACCACCGGCACACGCAGCCTGTGGCTGGTGAGGTGGCATGTCTGTGCAGTGGCTGACTGCAGAACAGGGCCAGCGTGAGGCCTTTTCTCTCTTCTTGGAGCAGGATATGCATGCCTCTGGTGAAGCCCGTGGCGACCCCTGATCACCCAGCCAATGCCCCTCAGTCACTAGGAGTCGGCGTGTTAGAACTTGGAGGTGGAAGCCAGCTGGGAACGTCACTTGCAGGTGAAGAAGTGTCTCCCTGAATCAAGCCTCGGAAGGGAGGGCGGTGTGGTTCACTGATCCACATGTGACTAAAACCGGGTATGGCTGAAAGACACCCTCACACTAGCAGGAGACGTATCATAAATTTATTTTGTATAAATATAATGCATATTAACGTTATTTACAATGCTTGTTTTTTCTTTATAATCTGTATCTTTATTGGACAATTAGATACAAACTATTATCACTCTAAGTAAAAAGTGTTCCGAGAAATACATTATAAGTCGTTTAAAAAACAGTATTTCAAGCTTGGTTCCTACATACTGGGCCCAAGTCTATGAAAAGTTGCTCCCGTCACCCCTTCCCCACGCAAAGGAGAAGGAACTTATATTTAGGGTTTCTGAAAATCTCCTACTACCTTTATCTTTTAAAAAATCCCACTAGAAACAATCTGTTTTCTTATAGAGGAAAAAGTCATAGGCAGGATCTTCCTTTAGAAAATGACACTGAAAGTGGCACAGGCACCGGAACAACGTGGCGTTAGAGGCACTTAGAAAGCCAAAAGGATCCAGAGGAAGGAACCAACTGCAGCAAGCCAACCCCGCGTGCCCACGGCATGCCAGGTACTGGCCAGCCTCGTGGGCGGCCTTGGCTGAACGTGGCGAGCCGTGCTGGGACGGGCGGCGCCGAGCACTGTGGGGAATTTGGCTCGAGAGCCCGCGGCGGGGCACAGAGCAGAGAGAGGCTGGGCCGGGTCTGGAGGGGTGTAAGAGGGGCCAGGGTGGGCTGCCAGAGGTCGTGGGTGGACAGGCGGGAGGAGGCCAGTGGCAAGAAAGAAGCCGAGCTGGGCGCGGCTGGGGGACGGGCACACCACCCCAGGCTGGCGGTACAGGGAAGCAGCAAGAACTGAGCTTTGTGAGGACTGCTGGGCAGCATGGCCCACGGGGCCACACGGAGAAGGCACTGAAATGGGGGGAAAGCGACTACATCCTGGGAGTGGGCGAGGTCCCGAGCCAGGCCTGGGCAGTGACAGCAGCGCGGAGGCCGCTGAGGGAAGCTCAGCTGTCGGGGCTTGTTGAGACCTGGAGGCAGAGTCTGGGCCTCACGCGGACGACAGACGTGGATGGGAAGAAAGCGGGTGGGGTGTTCTTCATGAGAAGCTGTACGTGCCCAGGGAGGAGAGAGACAGCCAGCAGGTAGTTCACATGTGGCCTTGCAGGACCGTGGCAGGAGCAGGTATAAAGTCTGAGTTATGACAGGGTACTCAAAAAAAAAAGCCTGTCCTCACTCTCCTGTTCAACTGAACACTTGCTCAGAAGACTCAGGGAGCCGGGCACAGTGGCGTGTGCCCTGGAGTCTGAGCTATGTGGGAGGCGAGGCAGCAGGACCGCGGGAGCCAGGCGGTGGAGCCCAGCCTGAGTGACACAGTAAGACCCCATCATTAGAAAACAGAGAAGCCCCAGGTGGTACTGCGTGAGACACAGCATCTGCCTGCGAGGTGTGAACAGAACAATGAAAGGAACAGGACAACCCTCCCTGGAAGTACCTAGCGAGGCATTCGACTCCAAGGGGTCTCAGACCTTCCGCAAGCGGAGCACACCACACTCGAAGACGGACCAGCACATGCTATGAGAACATGACGCTCAGTCAAGTCATCAGCTGGGAGGCTCCCTCACTTCCAGGAATGCTCTCCCAGCCAAATCTAAAACACGCATTCACCTCCAAGAGCGCCTGGGAGCTGCCCTTGCCACTTGGCTCATCACTGTGGCCTTACTGTGACTTCGGGGTCGGTCTGGTGGTCTCACTTAAGGAAACACCACCGGACACGCTGAGGACCAGCGCCCGAGGTAGCCACGGGACAGCACCAGGTCCTGGGCACACTGGGCGCGGGGAGAGGCGCCGAGGGGGCTGGGGCTGGGACTGAGGCTGGGACTGCCGGCTCCCAGAGGCCTGGGTGGGTCCTCAGCAGCGACGGCTGCAGCTGGGGCACCACCGAGAGCCAGGATCGCCCTCCGGCCTTTCCAGCTGAGCTTCACAAACGCCCTTCTCTCTCCTCCTCTCTCTCTCTCTTCCTGTGAGGAAGCCCCCGCCTCTGGTGCTGAGTGTTCCAGGATCTAGGTCTAGTGACACTTTACCCCAGTGACAAGTTGGCCCAATATTATTTTTTCTTCAAAAACGTTAGCTATCAAGAGAGACTTTTAAAGGTATTTTTATCACAAATTGTACATAATTAGGTTTTTAGTCGACACAGATGAGCCAGATTACATAAATAACTGATCAGCTTCAGTAAGTCAAGGAGGTCCTGTCCCACATTCAGCGCATCTTCGGGGGAGGACCACCTGAGCACCTCCCCTCAGGCTGTGCATGTGACTCTTCAAAACCCTCCCGGGCTCAGCCAACAGCTGCGAGGCACACACATGTCGCGTGTGTGTGTCTGTGCCAGGTCTCCTCTCTCTGCGTTTAGCTCTTGGAAGAGACAGCGGCCTGGCTGGTGTGTTCTAGACTCTAAGGCTCAAGCTGCGCCTGTGGTCAGAAGTCGGAGAGCTTGGGGGAAACGCCCCATAACCTGGGGTCTTGCTGAGTGCCAGCCTTGATGCAGCAGAAGGAAACGCCTTACAGGGCCTAACCTGGGCCCATGGGAATACACTGAAGGCTTCAGGGAATTGTAACTTGGAAGCCTGAGACATGGGATCTTGATTCAAGCCAGTGAGCCTCAAAGAAATACGGTTCACCTGCTGAGACAAGAAGACTCAGGAGGCCACACGGCAGGACTACGCAAGGTGGCCGCTGGGTTGGGAGGAACTCCACGGCAAGAAGTACCCAGAAGAAGTGACAGCAGCTTGCGCAGGGTCTCGCGGGACCTCTGGGGCTGCCCCAGCACAATCGCAAGACCCAGAAAGGTGCGTGGCCGTTCTCTTGGCAACCCCTGAGATCACACTGAGTCAGGACATCCTTTCCACAGAAGCAGCTTTACCCTTTAATGAAACTCGAGGGATGAGCTTGCCTTGTAAGACAGGTTATAGTTTAAGCTTAGTAAAATGTACATTATGAACACCAGGAAAGACTCTAATCACAGCGTTAATGTCGCTTTTCTTCTGCTAACCAATAATTTTACGTACAAAGTAGTTCATATGTTAAGCAGTAAGTGCACCAGAATCATGAATCTAAATCTTTTTTTTTCCTGCCCCGGCCCCCAAATCTAAACCTTTTCTTATGAGGCACACTGACACCTGGGTAAAATAATAAAATAAATAATTTGTTTTTAACTATCAGGGAGGACATATCACAAAGTCGTATAAAAAGACATTTTAAAAATGAATAGTAGGCCAGGCATGGAAGCTCACGCCTATAATCCCAGCACTTTGGGAGGCTGATGCAGGAAGATTACTTGAGCCTAGGAGTTTGAGACCAGCCTAGGCAGCATAGTGAAACTTCATCTTTACAGAAAGTCAGAAAAATCAGCTGGACGTGGTGGTGTGTGCCTGTTGTCCCAGCTACTCACGGCTGTGGTGAGCCGCGATTGTGCCACTGCACTCCAGCCTGGGTTCTCTGTAGAGAGTCCCCAACTCAAAAATAAAAAATAAATGAATACTATACAATTTCCATTATTACTGGCTTAGAACATGTGCTTTGCTGATACAGTAATTCCAGTTCATTTTTTAAAGCACAATATTGTAGGAAATGTAGCATTCTTCTTAGGCACAAATACCATCAACTGACTTGGGCTGGGAACCCTTACATCAGCAGGGGCTATCTTGTAATACAATGCTTGCCATCTTTTGTTATTTTAAACAATAATACATTTGTGTGTGTGCTAAACTGGTTGATTTTTTTAAGATTGGACTTAATTAAAAGCGCACAGAACTGACTATCTGTGTCCCTGCAATGGAAACAGGCTCATTCCCACTCACAGTTAAACAACGAATCAGCTTCTGACCCTTGGCTGTAATTCCAACATAGTGACATTAACCCATGCAAAAGCAGTACATGATAGTAGAACACTTTAGATAATTTACTAAAATTTCATTTCACAGTTACTGAGGTAGAAGCTGGCCATGTTTTTCCACTAAAAGGTACAAAAATTCATCTAAGTTTACTTATTCAAAGACATGCATTTTTCATTGGCAATTTTATGATAATCGTCATTTATAAACCAAGCACTGCATGGACATTTGCTCCTTGATACGTATTTTTTACTTACAAAGACTTAGCATGAGTGAGAATGTTACACTGTAAGGTAGAGAAAACAGTGTGGACCACATCACAAATAGCTAATAAAGTATACAGTATTAAGAGAAGTTTTCTAGTCTCTAAAGAAATGGTACTTTAGAATTCAGTGTAAGTGTCAGAAATAATTCTGACCATTAAGTAAACATCAACATTTTAATAAATAACATATATGAAAAACAAACATTAAAAAAATTTTTTACCTATACCTAACAAAATAATTTCTTAGATCTGACGAACAGCATGCTTGGATTTATCTCGGCAGTATTCATTTCTATAAAATTCCTGGTTGCATTTACTTCTCCCCAATGAAATTCCACCAGTCTGGAATCGCAGAAGAGATGAAAACAATACTGCTACAGGACTGTGCCTTCCTGAAATGCTTCTACCCACCTGTGGATAAGAGATATCAGTCAGATTTGTACAAGCCAGTCACCTGGCATATGTGAATGTGACATGGACCCGACTGCCCTAACAGCATATGGGAGCTCCTTACTGCAACAAACTGGTATTCTGCACCCATGGAGCGCCTCGGCCCCCATAAGCTGGGATGCAGGTGAGAGCCACGCCCAGCCCAGACCTGTCTCAATATTCACAATTAAAGGGACTCTGGCATCTAGCTGATCGAAATTTTGCGTGTGATACAAAAGCTTCTCAAAGTTTCATAGAAGGCTTTCCAAAATTCTCTAGTCTCAAAATAGAGTTTTATCTAACAATGCACACAGCTGCAGTTATCCAGAAAGACACCTGGGAGGAGTCCCCTTTTCCTCCCTTCTAGTGGGACTGCTTCTGAACGCAACTGTTTATTTCCTTTCTTACTAAAATATCATTTCTTACAGTAATATTTTATGTAAAGAAAAATTTCCAGGGAATTATGAACATTGGAATTCACTCAGTCTCATTAGTAAAAGCAGCCTGTAACAGGTTTAGTTAAAATTTTAAGGGTGGAAGCCGGGCTCGGTGGCTCAGCCTGTAATCCCACGCCTTTGGGAGGCTGAGGTGAGTGGACTGCCTGAGCCCGCAGGTTCGAGACCCGCCTGGGCAGGCGAGACCTCATCTCTACAATAAATCAAAAAAATTAGCCGGGTGTGGTAGCACGCGCCTGTAGTTCCAGCTACTTGGAAGACTGAGGCGGAAGGATCGCCAGAGCCCAGCAGGCGAGGCTGCGGTGGCCGGGAGTGGCCACTGCACTCCAGTCTGGGTGACAGTGAGACTCCAACTCAAAAAAAAAAAAAAATTTTAAGGACAGAATTTTCAAAAACTTAAATTTTGAATATAAATGGCATATAAGTCCTATAATAATAGCAAGGTCTTTTAAGAGCCCCAAATTTTCCACTAAATATTCTATCATATATTGAAAAGAGTAACTCATAGGATATTAATAATCTCGAAGAGAAACTTGTAGTTTAGCCTGGGTCAATTCTTTTCTTATTATTAATTTTGAAAGTAGAGACAGCATCTTGCTTTGTTGCCCAGACTGGTCTCAAACTCCTAGCCTCAAGTGATTCCCCCCACCTCAGCTTCCCAAAATGCTGGGATTCACAGGTGCGAGCTTCCACGTATGCTTGGTCAATTTGACATTACAAGAAAGCTGTTTTCCTTTGCCCAGCTACATTTAATGCCATCTCATTGGCATTTCTATCTCATTAGCTTAATGCTAACAGCAAAAGGTAACGAGTATTGAAAAGCAATACTTCAGCCGGGTGTGACAGCGCGCACCTGTAGTTCCAGCTACTTGGAAGGCAGAGGCAGAAGGATCGCCGGAGCCCAGCAGGTCGAGGCTGCGGTGGCCGGGAGCGGCCACTGCACTCCAATCTGGGTGACAAAGTGAGACTCCAACTCAAAAAAATAAAAAGAAAAAAAAGAAAAAAAAAGAAAAGCAATACTTTTTACCCATTTGATGAAGAGGAAAATCACAGGAAAGAGAGCATCTGACAGCCTCTTAGGGCAATTCCTGTGTTGTCCAAGTAATTTTTACAGAAAAAATACTTAAGTGGCATAATTTAAAAGACTGAAAACAATCTCATAGAGCATGAGCCTGATTGGTTTTCAGGATCATAGGGGATTCGGGTACAGAGGTCCCAACGGCCTTAAGAAATGACAAACTGGGCAACCCTCCAGCGTCCCCTTCCGTGCAGGGAGCTTTTTTGTCCTCCTTTCTTAAAAAAAGAAACGACAAACCCTCACTTTCCTTTGAAAGCACCCGTTTTTACCTTCATGTACTTTTTTTTTTTTTGAGTTGGAGTCTCACGCCGTCACCCAGGCTGGAGCACAGTGGCATGCTCACCCAGTGTTGACCTGCTGGGCTCCAGCGATCCTTCCGCCTCAGTCGTCCAAGTAGCCGGAACTACAGGCACATACTACCAAGTCCTGCTAATTTTTAAAATTTATTGTAGAGACGCGGTCTCACCAAGTTGCCCGGGCTGGTCTGAAACCCACGGGTTCAGGCAATCCACTCGCCTCAGCCTCCCAAAGTGCTGGAATGACAGGCTGAGCCACTGAGCTCAGCCCCTTCATGCACTTTTAAGCCTATGGACAACATGAGCACCTTGTACTGAGAATAAAAATGTGTATTTTGTGAGGCTAAAATAAAAAGTCACATGAATGAGAGGTGGACTGGGCTATGCTGTGCCAAAGGGCCCTATTGCACTGCAATGTGCATCTCCGGGTTAAGCCAACTAGTGGCATCTACACCAAGATTTCTGCTGGCATCTGGAAGAGGCTGCTTCAGCCGTCCCCTTCTAAGATGGCGTCCGTCCCCATCTAAGATGGCGTCCGTCCCCATCTAAGATGGCGTCCGTCCCCTTCTACTCCGTTGCTGGGAGCAACACGGAGCCTCTTAGTGTGCTGGCTCAACATTTGCCCCAAAGGAGTGAGTTCGCAAGCAGCTGTGTGAACTCCTGCTGTTCCCTTGCCCAGCAGAGTCCTGGAAGGGGTCGAGGAGGAGTCTTGCCCCAGGGAAGGAGAGGTCGATGCCTTCACCTCCCTGCCTTTCAGCAGAGAACAGGAGTTGGTTTACCTGCTGCGCCTGCAGGTCCTGAGGGCACAGGGAGACAGGGCCCTTTGTACAGGACTATCGCTTTTCTTCTGCCCTCTGCCTCCTGAAAATATTAGATACCCTGGCCATGTCTTTAAAGACTTTGAATAAAACATGAAGTCTTTCTAGGAGGACCTGTCCCCATGCCTCACAGGAGGTCACTTACACTGTCATTTAAAATAACAATCTGAAGGCTCATGAATAAAAGAAAAACATGGCTACTTACTTCTGAGCCGAGTGAGCATCATCCGCTCTGAATACATAAAATAACATGTTTTTATGCAGCAGCTGAAATACTGCAGAATCCGCATCTGTGACTGGAGTCACGGTGAACCCTAACAAGGGCTGGCTCTCCAGGGCTGCCACATCCTAACGGAGAAGCACACAGAGGGAGACGGACCTCAGATCTGAGCGCTCCTGATCCAGGGCTCTGATGTCACAAGCACACACAGAAAGCCACGGGGACTCTGCAGCTTGGTCACCGTCCATTTATTCACCAGCATGTGCTGAGCCACCGACTCTTGTGCCAGACACTGTGCTGGACAGTTTTTGGCATGTTCACATCCACCGAATCGCACATGATTTTCGCCATAACCAAGGAAGGCAGGTGACTATGACTTTCATTTTACAGAGGCAGAAAACAGCTTAGAAAGGGACATGATTTCCCCAGATCCCACTACAGAAAAGCTGGGCTCCCAAGAACAGTGGTTTCCACAGGATGTGGGGACACACGGTGATCAGATTGGAGAAAAGGACGGAGTCAGACCGCTGGAAACTACTGACGACCCAAACAAAGCCTGCTGTATCCATGTTGACGCCTGATTCATCCATGGACAATCCCCAGCACATGTGAATCACAGGCACAAGACAAAGAAACTGTTCACATTAGAAACAACACCCCCCCCAAAAGCAAAGCTAAACATCACACAAAAAACAAGTACGTTTTTAAAGTGTTGTAACTATTTCCAGTTGGCATCATAAAACAAGACCCCAGAATTACCCAGATGTCAGGCCTTACCTCGCTTGCAGCGTATGTGTACAGCACTTTGTTTTTTATGACAAACCACAGATGCTTCCAAGGTTTTTTATTGCCCTTTGACCGGTACAAGTAGCCACTCATAGATGAGTCCTCTGTGTTTGCTGATACCTAGATAAGCGAGCCCATGCATAGTTTAAAGGTGTTCAGATAAGTTACAACAACACTGTTTTCATTCATTATGCGGAAACCAATGACCACAATACTAGCATGTTTCACAATGAAACGGTGCCTTTCCAAAGTCTGCTGCCATGCACATTGGATGGCCACTGTTAATGTGCATTTAAAAAATCCTTTCGTAGCCGGGCTCGGTGGCTCAGCCTGTAATCCCGTGCCTTTGGGAGGCTGAGGTGAGTGGACTGCCTGAGCCCGCGGGTTCAAGACCCACCTAGTCAACTTGGCGAGACCTCATCTCTACAATAAATCAAAAAATCAGCCGGGCGTGGTAGCGCATGCCTG